AAGTGATGTTTTAAATATGGATAACTCTAAAAAAATATTGTATTTTATTTATAAGATTTTAAAATCAGTTGAATTTTTGAGCATTAACTTGATATTTACAAGAAATTTAACGAATTTCGATTGTATATTGATCACAATCAATAAACTAGAACCTTTAAAATTAGGCAAGTTCTCTTGTTAATAACCTATTGGAATTTCCCTGCTTTCGGGATTATCATTTCATGTAATGCAAAAATTGGCAAGTGACATATTGACAATTTCATAAATCACATCAGTTTCAATCATATGAGAAAAGAGATTAACGAATGAAAGATGAGATTAATCAAAAAGTGGAAGTAACATATGTGCTATTCTATTTTAATTTTTCCTAGCTTACAAACACCACTACTTATCGCTCGCTCTAAGATGTTTCAGATGAAGGAATCTTGCAACTTGTTCGAAAAATAGCTGAGTTTCTAAATCTAAATGTGAACTAAACATAAAATCTAAATAATATCAGAATGCGTTATGCACCAAAAACCAATATCTGTGCTATCTGCTGTTTTTGATAATTAATTTTATTTAAGTTGCAAACCCGAAAGTATGACATTTGCAACAACGACTTCAACTAATAATATCGAACTTGGATATTTACGCAAATGACATTCCCGAAAGCAGGGTTTATTATTATTTCTGTAACATATTTAAAAGCTGTTTATACCAAGGACCCGAAAACAAAAAAAATTTAAATTTTATTCAAACAAAAATATTCTTACATTTTAAATTGAAAATTATTTTTTGCCAAATTTAAATAGAAAATATTGAAGCAGAAAAAAAATATAATTTTTTTTTTGCAATAAACTGTGAAATTTTAAAATCTCGACTGGTTTTAAACTTATTTAGAAAAATTGAAAACAATGCCAAGTTAACGCAACTTATATGCGGGTAAATTGTGTATGTCTACTTGTACACATAAAATTTCTTTATTTTCTAATAATAACGAAGAATTTGATTTCTAAATTTTTTATTGAAACTTTTAAATTTTATTATAATATTATGTATGTAGCAATACACACATACATAAATTGCATATATCCTTGAACTTCATCCAAAATTTTAAAATTCATAACCCTCATGCATATTAATGAATTAAAGTTTCATAAACAAGTCTTTCAACTCTAATAAAAAACGAATTTTTGCTATTGAATCTTGGAATCGTATCGTATATGTAAGGAGAGACAATCTTAAATTTAATTTGGAAATTTTATCTTATTGGTTGTCACATTTATTTCTAAATTAAAGCCGAATTATTCTTATATTTAAAAATTTTTTGATTTGGAGTATCAAGAAATTTCTATAAATTCTATAATAAAACATAATATGAAATAAATTTAAAGATTAATTTACAATCCTGAGTTATGTACATACTTATATCGTTGGTTAATGAAACTAATTACAATATGGCTAAATCGGGAACTGAGAATGAAAAATTTCTGACTATTGTTAATAATAATTGACTATTTAGTAATAATTAGTACAGCAACTAGCAAGCGAAAATTTGTAGATTTTGTAGATTTGTAGGACCGGGATAACAGCTCGTCACGACCACATATAAGAATCTATTGTGGCCCGGGAGCATTACCTTCCCTGATGTACAAGAGCTTCTTGTGAGGCGTAACTCTGCCACTGTGACAGCAAATTTCCCCAGTATTTCCATATAGCGAATAAAACTGACCCCCTACATTCCAGTTTTTGACCAAATACTTTATAAAATAAATTTTTCTTATAAAAATTTAAAATGGAACTAAAATAAAAAATGGTAGAATAGAAAATAAATAATAAAACTGAAATAAATGTTTTAATAAAATATTTAATTTAAAAATAAAATTAGAAAAAAAAAACTTCACAAATTTTAATTTCATTTTTTTTTTTCATTTTAATTTCTTTTACAGTTTTACAATGATCAATCATAAAAAAAAAATGCCAAACAAAAATTTAATAACTTAAATCGGGAAAATTGAAAACAAAAAAAATTAAAAATAAAATTTAAAAATTTTTCTTCATAAATTACAAAAATAAAAATTAAATAATAGTTAAAAAAAAGAAAAAAATTCACACAATAATGTAGAAAAAAAAATAAACTAAAAAACAAATAAATAATTTTTTTTTTAAAGAATTTTTTGCTTTCTTTGCTATTTTTTTTTTAAGAATATTTAAATATAAAATTAACTTAAATTAAAAATAATTGATAATTTTAACTTAAAATAAACAAATTTCATAATTTTCTTGTTTTTCTTCTTGTCTTCTTAAATTGAACTCAATTTTAAAATTAAAATTAACAAAAAAAAAAATTCTTTTTTTTTTTTATAAATTAAAAAACTAAAAATTATACAAAAAAGAAAATATCTACTGGAATAAATTTTTTTTTTTTAAATTAATTTTCTTTTTTCTTGCATTTTTTACTATTAATTTTATTTTCTTTTTTTTTTGTTTTTAATTATCTAACTGTCATACTTTTAATTAAACTCAAAATATTGTACATAAATTTGAAATTAAGAATTTAATAATAAAGAACGAGAAAAATTGTAGGGGCAATAAGAAAATATTGTGCTAGTGTCAACAAAATCTCAAAATTAATTTCAGAAATTCAAAAGGAAAACCGAGAAATTTTCAACTTTCGTGTATTTTTCGCTAAGTTTTAGCTAATACGCCCCAATTTATGCAATATGAGTGCAAATAAGCATGAGTAGAATTGTGAAATTTTTGTCTTATTGATTTTACTTTAACGTATTTAAACTACTAAAGCTATTTATCATTAATTCAAATTTTTGGGAATTGAAAGAAAAAATTAATTTATTTATAATCCGATCTGTTTTGCTGTAATGCTCGTAATCCGATTAGCAAGTGGAGCTTCAAATTTATCAATCTATTTTGTGTATGGGGACACATTGAATTTCTGATATAATTTCTGTATAGTATTGATGAAAATTATAATATGTGGCGATAAACTGTAACTAGTGTATAATTTTTACTGTTGTCTAATCAAAAAGAAAAAAATTTTTGAAGAAATTGACAAAATAGTCATTTGTTTTTTTTTTCAATAGACAAATTGAATTTTTACAAATCTTTAAGAATTTGTGGCCTAAATTCTAATGATTCACAACCTTTAATATGAAATCTATATATTTATACATGATGCATGTTTATGTATATTTTCTAGTATGTTTAATAATAAATTACAAGAAAAAAAAAACAGGACTTACAAATTTTACAAGTATTTTTTGTTTTTCGTTTTGTTTTTTTAAATTTAAATATTAACTTGTACATATAATTTTGTTCCACATTAAATCAATTAATTATTAATTATAAATTAATATTTAACGTTTTTTTCATTAAGTATTTTTCTCAGTGAGTATAAAATAGTTTTACGATATTATTATTAAATAATAAAATTTGGATATAGAAAAAAAGGAACGTAGAATATTTTTTAAATAAATTTGGTTGAGCTTTGTTTGTTTTTTTTTCTTTTATTTTTTTATTTTTTTGTTTTAAATAAAAAATACGAAATCTTAGATTTTAATAAAAATTTTTTTTAAAATGTATTAGGAAATTAACGACGAAACTTAATTATAAAGCATGAAAATAATATTCTCCTCCCCATGTTTATAGTTAATTGACCAAAAATATGGCAAATTTTTAGTATAATTTCTTAAAAAAATTACAATGGAGTTTTGTTTAAGTTTTAGGGACTATATTCTGACAATATTTTTTAGTACTAATTGCAAACAAGCCGACATAAAGAGAATCAATTTATTATACTTGAATGTTAAGCATGAGTGAGTGCTCCATTTTAGTGTAGGGCTTTGGAACTTTTTGTACGAACAGCTAAACGAGCAACATACTTTTACAAAAAAATCAATTAAATTATAGAGCGTGAAAGTGAAGAAATATAGTTGGCAAGAAAAATACGCTTTAACAGAAGCACAGTGAGAAACTTTTATTGTGCGGAAGCTTGATCCCCACTCTCTATCAAAAACTGTAAGATTCTTTCATTTCGCTAATTTGTTGCTGCATTCAGGCTGTTGAACATATTGTTGAAATTTGGAGCCGTGTATGGCGTTTCACTACAATAGGTAATAAAAAATACATGCAATTTTTAATTTATTGAAAAAATTAATAAAATACGAAAGAAAGGAAAAAACTAATAGCGAAAACCAAGAATTTAATGAAAAGTGGGAGATTCAAAGAATCTCGAATGAGTATGAGAAAAATTAGTACGTTTTGAAATGCAAAAATCGAGTGAGATAAATATGAATTTCAATTGTGTATGCTACATTTGAATGTGTGGCCCGTATAAAAAATTTTATTTTGAAAATTTTCCGCCATCCGCAAAAGGTTACCGTCCTCTGCTGTAGAATGTTAAAATGTATAACATAAAATCGGTATAATTTATTAACAACATTTTTTTTTAAATATTTTTCTCGTTGCGAGTCTAAAAATTATTGTCAATATTGGAAATACACTAGGAAAAAATAAACAAATTTGTTACATACTAAGCCTTTTGCTCCTTTATACTCTTATTATAACTTTTTTGTGCATCTCTTTTAATCTTTTAATTTCAATTAGTTTTCCATTTTATTTTTAAAAAGTTTAGCATGGTTAGAATTATGTGACCCGGCCCCATACAAATTGGTAATTTTTAAGAAATTATACTTTAATATTTACGCTATCTTGTCAATTTTGTTAAATAATGTATAAATTTACAAAATAAATAAAAAAAAATGAAATATGAAAAAGTTCATAACAATAAGCACTATAAATAAGAAGTTTTTGTTGGTTTCTTTAATTAATTCTTAAACAATTAAATTGAGCCTAAATTTGTTCCTTAAAACTAAACTGAAATAGCCTTAAATTATAAATATGTTTGTTACCTCCCTAATTATTAAGAATTATTTAAATAATTTATATCTCAGTCTTTGTATAGAGATTGAACTTTTTTTTTAATTATATTATTTTTTTTAAATAATTTTCATTTTATCTAGAATTCCATGCAACTTTAACAAAAATCAAAATTCAGAAAATTTAGCGCATTTTTTTTTAATTTTTAAATATAGTAACATTTAATTGTATTTTAAAAAATAATTTAAAACCAATTTTATTTCAAATAAATTAGAAAATTAAATTAAACAAATAAGAGGAAAAAAATTTATGATCTCCATGGGAGTCTAAAAAAATTTTGTAAAAATTAACATTGTTTTTCTTTTATAAAACAAAAATTTTGCTTTTTCTGGGGTTCGTATTCAAAAGAAAACTGTTTTAGTTAATAATTGTTACCAGATCTACTCAATAAAAAAAAAAAACAAATTAAATATTCTCTTACGCACTCTCCGTTTTAACAATTAATGGCATTTGCATACCAATTAATAATGGTTGTTGTATTGATTTATGTTCTAAATTTTCTGTTTTAACTAAAAGTGGGATATTCATTTTAACATCGGTCAATACTGATGATTTATTATCATTATTATTTCCAGATAAAACATTATTATTAGCACCATTTCGTTGAGCTTCATAACGTGTATGAGTTCTCATGTGACGTGTAATCATATCACGACGGCAAGCAGCATATGGACATTGTGGACATTTGTATGGTTTTTCACCAGTATGTGTACGTTGATGTGTTGACAAATGATCAGAACGTGAAAATACTTGACCACAAACTTTACATGTATATGGTTTAACACCGGTATGAAGACGCATATGTCGTGTTAGCATATCAGATCTTGCAAATGAACGATTACAAACTTCACAGGCGTATGCTTTTGCAATATCAGATGATGAGTTTCGACTTTTATGCCGTGATGCCATATGTTTAGCTAAACGATCATGCAATGAAAACATTTGGCCACATACAGGACAAACATATGCAACATCAGAACCCGGTGGCATTTCTTCAACCACTGGAGATACATCTAAATTATAACGCCATGCAACAGATTCTTTAGTTGTAGGTGATGCAACATCACCTTTAATAACTGGCACGCCAACAGTACCATGATGACCAGCTATCATGTTTGGTATTTCACATTTTATCATACGTGGATCTAAATTTGGTGGAGTAGCTGCTTGTAATACAGATGATGGTGAATGTTGCACATTTGAACGATGTGGCGGCGCTAATAATGGCGATGGTATTGGTGACTGATGTTGAGTATGATTATTTGACGAAGAATTCATAATTTGTTGATGTAATTGTAAAGGTGATAACTGCCTTTGATTATTATTAATTGGTGAATGAAAATTATTTGGAGAATTTGTATATTGTTGTGTATTTTGAATTGGTGTTGATCTTCTACTTAATGAAGTAAATTTTTTAATTGACAAATCCAATGGTTGATCTTGTGGTGGAGCCATTAATGCCCCATCTCTTGATTGTTGTGCTAATTGTAGTTGTTGTTGCTGTTGAAGTTGTTGTTCTGATTCACTTGTGGGCGTTGATAATTTTAAAACAGGTTTCTTCGGTGAAGGAGTTTTTCGCATATCAACCGGTTGTAAATTATCTAGTTCATCATTATTACTACTAATTTGACATTGATCGGCGGTTACACTTTCATTATTTGATAAATATTCTTTTTTAATTGTATGTGATTGCGATTCTGATTGTATTTGTAAATTTTGTGATTGCAGGTGAGATTGTTGTTGTTCTGTTATCTGATTTTGATTTTGTATATGAGATCCAATTGTATTTTCATTTGATTGTTTATCTTGAGGTGATGGTAACTCGGATTTTTTTGCTTTTTGCGATATATTTTGATTTTCCGTCAAAAAATTATCTGTTGGTCTTAATGGAGGTTGAATAGGTGGCGGAGGAAATAAATTATCACCCTTACGACAAAATACGTCATTAAAATATTTTGTATGCAAGTAATAATGAAAAAATGGTGATGGTATTGGAAAATATCTATCATATGGACTAGCTAGTGGTTCAGTCTTAATATCAACATTTAATGGATGATTGCCATCGCTGCCGATACCACCAACACCAACACTGCCGACACCACTATCATCTGTCATTTGAATACCTGGACTAATACTGTTATGTATACGTGGACTATGATCATCTGGATTAGATAATTCATCTGTTGATTCTTCTTCACCACCACTACTGGCATTTTTCGTTGAGTATTGTGAAGGTGATGTGCAACGTTGTATTTTAGCCTCACTTTTGATATTATTATTGTTAGTACTATCATTATTATTATTAATATTACTATTATTATTATTAATATTACTATTATTATTATTATTATGTAACTTATCTAAGACAGCAGATAATCTTTTACGTTTACGTTGCTTCCATGGAATATTGTTATTTGCAACATACGGATGATTGTTATTTGTTTGATTTTGTTGTTGTTGCTGAAGAAAATGTTGTTGTTGTTGGCTAAAATAATGATTTGCCACTGCTTCATGTAAATGTGGATGTAAATTTAAATTATTGTGATGTTGATGATGTGAATTTAGTGCATGATGCCCAATTGGGTCAGTTCCTTCTGCCATAGTCATCAGGTCAATTTAATATTTTAATTTCAACGTTCGAATTCAAATTTGTTGACGATTTTTGTTATTTTTGTTTTTAGTTAAGTTGAAGTTAATGCGCTTAGCAATGTTGGTACCTGAAAATAAAAAAAAATTTTAGTTTAAATTAATTTCGTTCGAATATTTCTTCAAACATTAATTAAATGAATGTAGTTGCAATTTGACAGTAGAACAAAATTTTAAAACAAATTTCTTGAAAATTTCAAAATTGACAATTTTCAAAATTTAAAATAAATTTGATTAAAAATTAAAATATTTTCAATATGAAATTAAAGTATTTGAAATGAAAAAGTAAATTGTGAACTAAGTAAATTGGAATCCAAAACTACGTAGTCTGAACTTTGCTTCTAAGAGTTCTAAAAAACAAAAAATTCATGGAATTTGCTTTTTCTCATTCTTTATAGTAGCTGTTATAGAAAATTCTATCGAATCTAAACAAGAGAATTCTTTAGTTTCTTAAATTTCTAAAAGTTTAAAAACTTTTTTAGCAGCACCCATTTTTGGCTTGCTGTAAAATAAGAGAATATGCCACTATAACCAATTAATCTCTGGACAGGTGTAGGCGTAATGTTAAAGACTGGGTCAAAACTATAGAGTTACGGGAATATTCCTATCAGATATAATGATGAGAACATTTAGAACGTCATGCAGAGAGCTTGTGCGGACAATAGTCAGTCACTGACGCATGGTTCTTTCTTGACGCATGGGATGTTTTTCTTTTTCTTCATAAAATTAATATTTTATATTCAATATTTTTTAAACCATTTTCTAATTCAAAACCAAATTTCAACCTTAAGTTTCCACCCATACACTCAAAAAAAAATATTACTACATTTGCTAAAGTTTTGCATGCTCCTAGTTATAAAAACTGGTAGAAATCGGGATAGTGCGAAAAAATAGCATTTTCTGTCATGTTTTATTGCACTGAATTATTAACATTAGTTGATATTTTTTTATCTGATGCTGCTAAAAAATACAAGCCGTTTTCGTTACTGAGAGCCATATATTATTGTCGATACAGCATAAAATTTTATTCTTTTCGCACTTATTTATTTCACTCAAGACTATGCAACTTGACTCTGTCAGATATGTATTATTAGTGTTACAGTCAGTGATTTTGCAAATATATAATTAAAATTTTACAGTTCTTATAGTTATTTATTTTATTGATAGCGATGTAATTTGGCTCTGTGTCTATATATTATGTATACTGCTGTTAGAGATTATTGCAAATGCAGCATTAAAATTTAATTGTATTAAGAATTATTTAAATCATAATAACAATCTAAGGTGGCTCTTTTAGCAACCTATTAGGTCTGTTTCAATTGGGGATTTTTGCAAATACAGAATTTAATTTTTACTACTTTTACAATTATTTATCACTATGGAAACAATGTAATATAACTCCATTACTTAAATAAAATGGACTATTCTGAAATGTGTTATAACTAAAAGAAGTGAAACTAACAATAGCCTTTGGTTCATTATTAAATTTTTATTGATATACAAAATAAACATTTCACATAATCAAATTATTTGGTTGTTTAATATTTTTCATATACTAAGTTTTACATTTTTTTCTTCTTAAACAATAATCCTTATAAATATGAATTACCTATTTAAGTGAGAGTTTTGCTTAATAACGTTTGTGTTTTAAAAACTTTTCGCAAAGCGCTGAGCTTGATAAATACAAAATTGGCAAAGATGATGTTGATTTGTCTTGCAATAACACAAGTATTTTATGTGATATTGTAACGCTGTCGCTTTCCACGATTTCAGTTGCGTAAGTATTTTCCGAAATACTTCCTGCTGATGGCGTTGAATACTGAAACATAATATACATTTTAAATTAATTACTGATGAAGAAATTTAACTCAATTAACAAAATATTTGTTTTCACCTGCATATTTTTATATTTTTTAACGAACTTATCCCAAAATATTGCTCTTATTCCTTGTTTTTAATTAAATTTAAGACTCCTTGATATTCCAAGCTCTCAAAAGCTTCTTGGTTCAACTCTTCTTCTAATAATTTCGTGAAGCACTTTTATGAAAAAGAAATAATATTATTAATAACATATTACGTAATTCACTATATTATTATAAAACATCAATTAAGTTATATAAAAAGAAATAATACTTATATTTTAAAAATTTTTAACATTTTTTAATTGCACAATATTATTGCGCACTACAAACGTGTCCGCTTATGTTTCTGATTCTATAAAAACTAAAAATCTGATCTAACCTTTATATATTTTTGGATAAAAAAAGAACGGGATTATTAACATTTACTTGTATTTGTAACAATTTAAACAATTGCTGTCACGTTTATCACTGCAATGGAATGTTACGTTTTATTTCGAGAATTTGATAAAAGAACAAAAAGTAATGAACGAATGTATTACCAGCATTTTATTTTAGCCTTTACAGTGATGTTTTTTACAGCATCACAAAAAATATAACTGTCACAGCTATGAGCTCGTATAATTAAAGCTGTAATATTGTTAGTTACACATGTAATGTTGCAATATTAATAAACTAATTTTAGCACAATTTCTTATAGCTAAAGCAGCTATGTTTTTTTGTAAGGATGCAGAAAAACATGGACATAACAGCCAAAATAAAATACTGATATGATAATAATATATACATATATCTTACATATACATATATATGTTCAATTAATAACTCCATACTCATATTCACCTTCCGATTAATGATATGTTTTTTTTTAATTAAAATTTGTAAAAATTTTACTTACTTACCTTCAAAAATAGGTTTTAATGAGCTATGTAAGCCCCTATTCTTCCAAAATATTTTTTACAAAATTATCCATTTTTACTGCATTTAATTTTTTATTTTAATTTTTTTTTTTACCTTAACTTTCACACTTAACTTGCGTATAGTTCAATCGAAATATTTGAAGTACTTCTTACGCATAATAATTCAGACGCAATATTCAAAAATCAAAGTTTTAATATTATCGTTATCCAAAAACAGTCTTGAAATGAGAAAATAGATGTTTTAATAAATAATACTGCAAATTTAATATAGCATTCTCGTTGTAGATTTTATATATAGAAAAAGATAGCTGTATAATTGGCCAAATCCTCAGCATATATTTTAGCTATTACAGCAATTTTGTATTACTGCACAAACAAACAGTGAGAGTTGTGAGTGAATATGTTCTATTGCAAAAACAGTCATAATATTTAGCTTAATTTTCAATACAACACAGTAATTTTAGAAATGTTTTGTTTGTCATGTACATATGTAGAATCTCATAGGGGCAGTTAAAAATGTAGTCATAAAATCTAGCTACATTTTACATGTCTTAAATCAGCTATGTATATCACTACAGAATAAATATGTATTCCATATGGAGGCAGAAATATTGTTAATTTTCTTATTTTTTTTAGCACCTTCAGATATAAAGTTGTAGTTATGTTTTTTGGCTACGAAAATAGTGATCATTTTTTTCAGTGTACTTACACATATAAATGGAGAAGATTTTCGAAAATAAATTGCACAAAAATAAAAGCAAAAGAAAAACAATCAATATAAATCTGAAAAGAATTCATACTTTCATTCCAAATTAAATATTCTCAAAGGATTATATTGTGATTTATAAATATTTTATGTTTCAGAAAACCAATAAAATATATTTAAGGCTTATATTTATTTAATTTATTTATTTATCTCTCCATTTTATATATAAATATCCTTGAATAATAATAATATATAAAATTTAAAGGGCTATAAAATTTTTTAGTGCAAAAAAAAAAAAAGAAAACCATTCTTTTTCTTTTAGAATTTTATTTTTAATTTTCATGTCCTTGCCTTCATCACACCAAATGTAATATCATAAATTTCTTGACCACTGCTACAGCATTGTATTATCCTTTAATATAATAAATTTTTCTTAGTTGTTTTATTTCTTTGTTTTCTTTTTTTTGCTTTCTTTATACTCAAACTATCAAAAAACCATTCAGAATTTCAATTCAACACACGCACCAACTTTTTTCTTCTTTAAAATAAAAATTTTTGACTTCACTCTTAATTTTTATTGTGTTTTTCCTACACAATTTTTTACAATAAACACAGCCCAGCGGTAGATCGCAATTGTGTGCAAAAAGAACAAAAAGGACATACGTACACATGTTTGTGTAAGTAATGAACATTATGTAACGTTTTTCATACAAGTTGAGTGAAAAAAAAAAAATAATTTCTTAGCCGAGAAATAAAACAAATTTGGTTTTACATTAAAAATTGTAAGTACAAAGAAATTTTGGATATTTTTTTCGTCCTTTATTTATTCAGTTTAAGGTTTCTTTTTTGGAATAACACAAAAAGTAAATATAGAATAATTTCTAACACAGAAGTAGTAAAATTTGGCTTGTACTCTATGGTTTTAAAAGTTATCATGAAATTTTAGAAGTTCAAAAGCAAAAGTGTGAAGACGCGGCACTTTTAACTAAAAGACTGAACAAATTTCAGCTTTCACATTTTTTAATTCTTATATTCAGTAATAATATTTTTCTCAACGAGGGGCTCTGTTTGATTTTGGGTATTCCAAATATACAAGTCGAAAATACGTCGCGAGTTAAATATAAACTGAAAAGTTGAAAGTTTTATAAGAACTTTTCTTAATCGAATCTTAATGGACTTAGCAATGGATCGGAATATTCAAAAACGATTATTTGACTGACGAAACAAAAAAATTTACTTAAAGTCTTGTTTGTTTTGTAAAGAATTTAAAGTTTTTTGTAAGCGCTTCTCAAATAATTCTCAGTATTTTTTCAGAAATAAAAGATGATTTGCAATATATGGACTAAGAATGAACATTCTGACCAGCAGATTAAGATCATAAACATAATAAATTTAGCACTTTGTGTTAATAAATAATGAAAGGACGAGGTTCCCCTCTGCATAACGATTCAATAGATGTAACAGAATTTTGTGCTTTTTATTAAATCACAGATTTAATGTCAATTCGACTTGCTTAAGAATATTTTAATTTTAATATCATACGAAATCTTGGTTCCAGAAAAATCTTTATATATTTAGTATTAAAT